AGAGGCAGAGGCAGAGGCAGGTGCATATGACAACCAAAAAATATTCTCCCAGTCTGACAATTTCTCAAGGGCAGGCCCTACCCACATGCATTTCCCCTGCAATTTCCTCATCTCTTTTATACAGACTGGAAACCCAGCAGGAAGCCTGGCTCTATCCTGCGTGGCTGGGGCTCTGGGTGGACGGTGACAAAGAGACCGTGGAGAGGCGGGGACCCAGCCGCCAGGATGGCTCTTTGGCGCTGTAGCTGAAAAACTTCTGAATAGCTTCAACTTAAAAGAAATCTCTCCCTGCGGGTCTAATGAGCCTCCCTGGGAAGCTCCCAATGTGAATGGGAATCACGACTTGACATAAACGGGAAAGATTATGTGTCAGCAGGACTGATTTGATTCTTAATGGAGTGTTAGTTTATTTGCTGTGATTTCACACATCTGCCTTGGCCACAATGCCATATTGCGTTAATCCCTGAGACATTACTGCACAAGGTATATTTTTTTATATACAAGGTGAATGGGAAATGGGGAATTTGTACATTTTTTTTAAAGTACATTCTCTTTATTCAAAGGACTAGCAGGAGGAAGATGGCAGATTTGACCATCAGTTAGAAACACGATTTCTTGAGTCTAAGTCACAGTTTGGAATTTGGGCTCATGGAGGGCAACAGATTCTGGCCATATTTAGGACTGTTTATGATCAGTAGGTTGAACAGCTTTATTCTCCTTTGAGACAGTAAATTTTGTGCATCTCTCAAGGCAAGCATTTCCCTAAAAATCTGGGCTGAGATTTAAACATATGGAAGACACACAAAAGATAAAAAAGGGAGACATCACTTTGCACCAACGAGTAAATTTCATTCGCCATTTATGTCCTTTTAAGTCTCCTAAGACAAGTTAGTTTTATCCCTTCAGAAGGCAATTTGATGTTCTCACTGGTGAACAGATGCATGCAGGCCACTGGGGGAAGCAAATCTCAGTTAACTCTGCTGGTGAATGAAATGTGAAAGACTTTAGCCCTGAGACCAACCCCAAACAGAATAGTCTTCCCCATCACACAGATCCTGGGAGGCTGCAGATGTTTGTGCTTCCCAGGGAGAGATGCATCCAGGGCTCTGATCATCTTTCCAAGGCCACCTTGCTGATGCTGCTGATGCTGCTGATGCTGCAGCCTAAGCTTTGCTGCTGCAGCACTCCCTGGGTTCGTTTAGCAAGTGCCAGGACCACAGCGAGGAGGAAAAGAACGGAGAAGAGAACAGCAGGGACCAGTAGTTAGCAAGAAGGCTTTCTCCTGAGGAATCCAGGCCACCCCTAATGTGTTAAGAGTACCACGTGCCAAACGGATCCCTTTTTCCTCTCTGTCTTAAATACCATTACATCATAGAGGAGCAGTGAGATGACCTCCAATCAGGGAACATGTAGCCCTCCCAGGTCACAAGAGGTAGTCGGCCCGAGTGTCTTCACCATACTCCTCCAACAAATGTTTGATTTCCACAGTGCTAAAGACACCGTGGAGAGCACCGCGAGGAATACATGCCCTCTGTTTTCTCCCAATAGCAAATGGTCTAGTAAAGCAGAGGTCAAAAGAACAACATTCATTTTTACAAGTATGGAGTTTGGTGAGGTTTCAGCTACCAGATATTTGAAGCTGCATTGTTCACAAGTTCATGTAGGACCTGTGGTTGAAGGAAGTGAGGTTTCAAGGATATATAAAGATGAGCGCACATCCAGACATGCCCACATAGTAATATTTATCATTGTTAGTAACTCTGCATTCAATTCCTGGGTCAGAATATTAATTCTATACCCTACCACACCCCTCGCTAGCCTTGGCAGCTTTTTCCTTCTAGCTGAGATAAAGCTTTTCCTGGTTGGTTAATGGGCATGGTTAGCTGCTAAGACAGGGATTCACAAAGGGAGCAAACCAGAAGTCATTGTGATTTAGACAATTACAGGTACCTACATCTCTATGATCCAAACCACTCTAAAGGTCAGGGTCTTCACCATTTTACATTATGTCAGCCTCCCAAAGACTCCAAACACCATATTTGTCACTGCATGCTACAGAAACTATGCGGCATGAGTTATGATCTCTATTCCCTAAGGATTTATGGTTCAGGAATAGGGCCAAAGCCAGGAGATCCACCTTCACTATAACATGTACAGTTCCCATGAACTTTAGCTTACCAAGTCATAGATAGGTCTATTTTCAGAGCTGTGAAGAATGGGGAGAGTTTTCCTGACTTCCAGGTTTCATTCCTATACTAGCAAGCATGGAATGTAAATGTTATCCAAATTTTAGGTGACAAGAGTTTGACCCTTACTTCCACAGACTTTAATTTAGTAATCTGGTACGTACGGCAGTTCAGTGTCTGTATTCTTAACCTATCCAGGCAGCCCACTGAACACTAAGATTAATTCTATGTGTCCTATATTTGATTATCATTTGATGCCCTTGCTTTAATCTTGTAGAATGAGCTTCAAATTAGAACTAATGGGAGGAACTTTGCAGTTGACTTAAATAAGTAGCTACAATCAGAGAGGAATTGAGAAGTCAGAGTCCAGCCAGATGAAATAGTGCCCCCAGGAAACTCAGAGATGTCCAGCTGTACATAGAACCTCTTTATTTTTAATGCAGAGCAATCAAGGCAAATTATTCATTGAAAATGGCATAGACTGGGCTCAAAAGAGGAAGGGAAACAGAGATGTGCTAAACCACTTATCCACGATTTCTGAAAAGAAAAATAGTTAAAAGTTGGATCTTTTCTGGATTTTGTAGTTCCAATCTTTGGAGTGACATTTGCATTTTATGACTAGATATTTGTGCACCTCTTGCACAGTCTCTTGACAGGCTTTCAACCTCTGAAAATAAGAAAGTTTGAAAATTAAAGCAATAAAATTTAAATTGATGAATATTCTAAGGTTTTTTTCCCATGGAAGTTTTACCGTCTATAATTTCAATTTCTTAAATGTATTTTAATACAGTTTCACACAGAAATTAGGGTTTGTGTTTTTTCTGTTTATTGCAGTGCAGAAAACAACTAAAATTTTGATAAAATAAAATAAAGTAAATAAAAACACTTGTTTTTAAAATATGTAAGAATGAGTTTTGTAGCATTAAAAACAAAGTAATTAATATATCATAGGCTCGACGTAGAAGTGTTTTGAGTGTTTATATACCAATGGTACATGTGTGTCTTCCATGTGTCATATTGAAACATATTTTAAAATAATAAACTGCTGATTAACAATTCTGTCATAGCCTAGTGATTGAAATTTGCATTATACTCACTATCTATAAAAGTTTGGCAAGACCTAAGACAGAAGATGATTTTGAGTTATGTAGCTTATTAGGGGACGTTTAAAGGTTGTTAATCAGATTGCCCTAGGTACTTTCTCATTCATTTTCTCTCTATGTTTCTTTACTCCAGAAATGCCTGTCATAGAAGGAACAAGCACAGGGACTCAAGGGAGCAAAGAGAATGCGCATCACATTTGAGATGAGGGAATCACCACTCCATCTGTTAGCCAACTGAAAAAAAGAATTCTTTCTATTTCCATTCTCGTGCATATTTTTCTGACAAGAGGGTAAAGCTATCCCTGCCTTAACGGTAGCATTCCCTTTATACCCTCCATATTTCTCCATCTCTGGTGGACTCCTTCTCTACTGTCCATGAAGATCGGCTTCCCTGGGCTAAAAGTGTCAGCCCCAAGAGACAACCTTGGCGCAGGCATCCCACAGATGCTCACGCTTGTGTTCTGTCTGTAAGCAGTGTTCATGCAGAATGGGATGTGTGGGGACTCCAGGCTCTACTCTGCACCTTGCCTCCCAGTCTCAGGGCCACCAGGTACCCAACTGACTCAATTCTAGAATAAAAGCACATCCTAGTGTGACTTATATAACACACATATGTGTGTGCTCCCTGTAGGTAATTAAGGCTGCATTATATCCCTAAAACCAGCTAGCAACCCTTTCCCAGTCAGATTTTTGAAAGGACAACAAGTCCTTACTCACTGTGCTTTTGGTATTTATGTGAAACACCCCCAACTTCGATGTCTCCTAAAACTGACCCTTAGCTAATTAGCAGCCTGACGTGATTATTCCAATTTTCCTGGGACCAATTAAGTAGGCACTGTAGAGGGAAGTGACAGCGAAATGTAAATTTAAAAACCGATTCTAGAATCTGCTCATTGAGGTAGGGAGAAAAGCAAAGGCTCAATAAGGAGAGAGGGTGTGTGGCGGCCGGGGGGGGGGGGGTGGGGAGGCTGGTGAGATTTGTGCTGTTGTTTCGGCTAGATGAATACTGGGTCTTAAAATTCATGCTGGACCGTGCTAACGTGAAAAGTACTCCCTGCTCCCATCAGTTACGTGCAACTGAAAACGCAGCCTCCTAATCCGTGCAGGGAGAAATGGGAACTCATCGTGGCCAGCCCACTGACTCGCTGCTAGGCACCTGTTTGGTTGGCAAATACTTTGTACCCAGACCTTCACGCTCAGAACACCTCCACACCTGCAGTTAGGCGTCAACCAGGAGGTAGTCTCATGAGATCTTCCTCACTCCCTCACCTGATCAACTCACCGAAGCCAGGACCCTCTGCAGCACTCCCGCCGGAGGCTGTCCTCTCCCGGTAAGGGCTAAGAAGAGCCCTTCCCCCAACCAGCACCACGGTCTGGAAAAGGAATTTCGGTGGTGCTTCGGAAGGCCCAAAGCTAAAGGTGAGGGACAGGCGGGGACTGGCTAAGCTACCTACTGGGTCCCTCCTCACTCACCTAAGAGTCTGCTCCTCCTGCGGGAGGTCGGCGGCCAGGTGAGGTTACCTGGGAGCCCCAGAAGCCCCGAGGGGCGCTGCAGTCCTTGGTATCCCCAGCCCCGGCGCAGCGGGGGACTCCAGACCGTCTCCTCCTCCCCCACCCCCCCGCGGCGCGCGGCCGCGGCCCCTCGGGCTCCGACGCTCGGCGACAGCGGCACGCCGCGCTCTGCTTCCCTCCGCCGACCTGGCGTGACGCAGGCGGAGACTACTTAAGGGCGGATTAGAGGCGGTGGCCGCGGATTCCCCAGCCCCGCAGCCAGCACTGCGCGCCGCAGCAGAGCGGGAGCGCCAGGTGCCCGCTCCAGTGACAGGCACCGGGGACGGTGAGCCGACCCTCCCTCAGACTGCAAGATCACGGGGAAGGCGGCGCAGAGACCGGTCTCCCGCGGGCAGGAGCTCGGCCACCTGCACGCTGCCACCCAGCCCCGCCCCTCGCCGGAAGACTGCGGGAGTCCACCTGACCCCCGGACGGCAGCTAGGTGCTGATCAGCTCCTCCGCACCGCGCCAAGAGCCCCTTTGGTCCGGACGCGGATAGATTGCTTTCCCCCTACTCACCCTTTTCAAGTGCAATAAAAGGGGAGGGGCTCGTGGATTTTTTTTTTTAAAGAAACATTTTTTTTGTTGTTGTTTGCTTCTTTAATTGGGGGCAATTCGCTCCCGGTCAGGAGGTGCGGCCCGGGGAGGGGCCAGGACCAGGAACGTGCCCGGTACTGCCCAGTCTTTGTCTGCTGCCTCCGGATGCACAGCGATGGGGGAATGGACCATCTTGGAGAGGCTGCTGGAAGCCGCGGTGCAGCAGCACTCCACTATGATCGGGAGGTAAGGGCACCGAGCCAGCCGTCAGTGGGCCCGTCGGGCGGCCCTTGGGAATACCTTCTCCTATCTCTAACGACCCCCAGACCCTCCCAGCCGACCCTCTGCCTCCTCCTTCCCATCCTCTGTCCAAGTGCCAGTGTTGCCTGCATTAAGGGGTTACCCAAAGCCCAGTGACGCCCCCCTGCTCCAGTTACTCCTGACCAGCTCCCCCATACTTTCTCTATACAGCACCACAGGGGGAAGGGGTTCAAGCTTCCGTCATCAGAAAAGGACTTGTGGACTCAGTCCTGGTACCCCTACTCTCCAGAGTCAGCGCCAGTCTCCATCTGGTTCCCTAAATAGATTCTACAAGGAAGGCAGAATTGCATTTGGACAGAGAAGGGCAAGTGGGGAGATGGATTTGCTCATCACAGATGCATCATTCTTTAACAGATATTTATTAGGCGAGACTCTGTCCTCCGTTAAAACTTAATGCCAGAGAGACACACACAGAGCTGGCTTCTTTTGGTGGATAGTTATATCTCTAATATGTACATATACACATGTGTGCATATGGATATATATTTATTTATCTTTATATCTACCTGCAGCTATCTATTTATGTATAAAGACATGAGAATTTTGTGTTAATAACTGTTTCTATGGACAGTTAGGCTTTATATGTTGAGACTAGGACTTACACATGTAGGGGTCAATACTCACCCCATGTGTAGACCCTCAAACGCACATCCTCTGTATAAAGATTTTGTTTGCATTGGCCAGAGTAAAGATGTGTTTAGAGTCTCTAGACAGTCTTCATATAAAGCTGAAATAGATACATTACAAAAGAACAATTAAAAGTGTATGAAATTGTGCAGATGAGAGATCTTTGTAAATATGAAGTAAACCAGGCTTACCAGCCCCAAGCAGAAAACAAAGAGATAAAGTTATATTCTAGGCTCTCAGTTCAGTACCACTCAAGGGTGGACAGCTCCCCTGTCCAAGGACTGGTAAACATTGAAAAAGTAAAGATCAGGGCCGTGCCATTAGTGACTTAGCCTATGAGAACCTCTCTCCCCCCTCCTTTTCCTCTGCTCAGGATCCTGTTGACTGTGGTGGTGATCTTCCGGATACTCATTGTGGCCATTGTGGGGGAGACGGTGTACGATGATGAGCAGACCATGTTTGTGTGCAACACCCTGCAGCCCGGCTGTAACCAGGCCTGCTATGACCGCGCCTTTCCCATCTCCCATATCCGTTATTGGGTCTTCCAGATCATAATGGTGTGCACCCCCAGTCTCTGTTTCATCACCTATTCCGTGCATCAGTCGGCCAAGCAGAGAGAACGCCGGTACTCTACTGTCTTCCTAGCCCTGGACAGAGACCCCACTGAGTCTATAGGGGGACCTGGAGGAACTGGGGTTGGGGGCAGTGGTGGGAGCAAGCGAGAAGATAAGAAGTTGCAAAATGCCATTGTGAATGGGGTGCTTCAGAACACAGAGAACACCAGCAAGGAGACAGAACCAGATTGCTTAGAGGTTAAAGAGCTGACTCCACACCCGTCAGGGCTGCGCACAGCAGCAAGGTCCAAGCTCCGAAGACAGGAAGGTATCTCCCGCTTCTACATCATCCAAGTGGTATTCCGAAATGCTCTGGAGATTGGGTTTCTGGTGGGCCAATACTTTCTATATGGCTTCAGTGTTCCGGGGTTGTATGAGTGTAACAGATACCCCTGCATCAAGGAGGTGGAATGTTATGTGTCTAGACCTACTGAGAAGACAGTCTTTCTGGTGTTCATGTTTGCTGTGAGTGGCATTTGTGTGGTGCTCAATCTGGCTGAACTTAACCATCTGGGATGGCGCAAGATCAAACTGGCTGTCCGGGGGGCCCAGGCCAAGAGAAAGTCAGTCTACGAGATACGTAACAAAGACCTGCCTCGAGTCAGTGTCCCCAATTTCGGCAGGACTCAGTCCAGTGATTCTGCCTATGTGTGAAAAGGCAGGTTTGGAGAAGGCCTGCTGAGTGGCAAGGAGCCCCAAGGCAGATGATGGCTCAAGGGGAGACAGAACTGCCCCCACTTCCGTGATGCTCACTGTCAAGGTCTAGGCTGCAGGTATTAAGGGGTCTTCATCAACAAAGAGGAAAGGTAGAACTGCCATCACATGTCACACCATCGATCGGTTCTACAGAGACAGTTGGGTACAGTGACAAGATGACTGAGCTGGACTTCCTTGGGCCTTTCTCTTTAATGGCCCTTCCTGCTCCTGATGATCGTGGACTGATGCAGCTGCCAAGCAAGACTTCGCTCTGCTGAGCTCTGTATTCTGGTGAATGGCATGAGTCAAATACTCATTGATATAAAATTTGTGACCCATTTCAGCACATCCCTTTATCCTGGGCTGCAGAAAAAAAAAACCATCCCTGAGGATCTTTCTCCCTCATCAGCATGCCCCTTTCTCTCAAACCCAGGATAGCATGCCAGCTTTTCTGCTTCCTTGATCTGGCCTTATATTAGCCCTAACACAGTTCATCTGCAAGCTAGAGGGAATTACATGGGGTGCTTTTTGGATACTGGCCAGGGCAGAGGTTTGCAGCAGAGCCCCATATGACTGGCTTTTAGTCATTATGAAAACCTTAGGAATGTCTCAGTATTTCCAATTTTTTAACTCAAATTGCACTGGTGCTGTTTATTAGGGTTGGGGGATGGGAGGGAGGGACTATCAACCCCACTTCTGTGAGATGGTCATTTCACTGTCAAGCATGTGTTTATGAGCCTTGGGATATTTCTGCCTTCTAGGTTATGGACTGTGGATAGTGTTAACAATACGGTTTCTGTTGAAATGGAGGGTATCTACTCAAGCCACAGAATTTCTAACTGACAGATCTCACTCATTTTTCTTACCTGATTTTGCTGTGCTGCACAGCTGCACATCATTTTGCCATGGTTTGAACTTACCTGTGTGCTCACACCAGAGACCTTAATCAGCCCTTGTCAATCCCAATGTATTACATCATCAGTTATTTTTTGAAACACACTCACACACAATCACTGGCTTAACAAACCTGGAAGTAAACATTATTGGCTAATATGTGTTTATGAATACTTATTTGAGACATATACCAAAGGTTCAAAAACCTGTTGTTTGGACTGAGACAATTTTCCTCTGTTGCTCTTATTTATTTAAGTGCCATATTTCACCCTTAACACCCACTGTATATTTAGCTGAAGCATTAGGCAAGAGTAGTATTCAGATAATATGTTTCTAGGGAAGCCCTCTGTTTCTTTTGAATTATTATTATTACTATTATTATTATTATTATGGGTTTTTTGATTTAGATATGGATGTGGTATGTTATACAACTGAGGATTTGTTTAAAATAAAGTTCTTGCCTTTTTTGTAAACTTGGAAGAGCCTGCATTTTTCTATTTTGATCAGAGTTCTATTTGTTGAAATAAATGTTCAAAATGTTACAATGGAGGGACATTTGGGTACAGGAAGTGGACAATAGATGAAACATATCTGAGGGATGAATAACAAAGTCCAGTCCTCCTTGAGCAGAGAAAGGGAAGCTGACAACCTTTAGGAATGTCTCAGTGGGAATGGTGGCATGTTTAAGGGTTATGTCCTAACTCCTTTCTGACTTTAGCCTGCCATTTCTCTGTCTGTGTAAGTATATTTCTTGCATACAAATGTCAATGATACTGAACCGACCACAGTCTCTCTATTTAGTAGAGAATTTTTTTTCTCTTTCCCACCATGAATTGTCACAGCTGGCAGGCACACAGTTCAACCCCTGGCCTTTTTAGAACCTGGTGTCTAAACAGACATCAAAAGGCATCCTTTAGACTAGCATTGTCTGGTAGGACTTCTGCAGTGATGGCATCTAATCTTGAAACAGGCAGCTACATGAGCTACTGAGATCTTAAGATGTGCTTAGTGCAGCTGAAGAACAGAATCTCCAATCTGATTTAACTTTGACAGACTTAAAGAGGTAGGATGGTTAACTGCTCTAGTATCACACCGCACAGTGCTAGACTTTTTAATTAGCCATTTCCCCTGAATCTTTAAATGGGACTGGAGCTTTTGTCTATACATTATAAGACCTTTCTAACTGGATCATTTTGTCGTTCCGCGTCTTTCCTATGTGTGCTCCTGCTTCTGTAGGCTAATGCTCTTCCTCTGTTCTTTATACATGTTCTAATCTTAATGAGCACTTGGATTGAACAGCAGGAAACAGTGTAGAATTTCCCGGGGTGGTTGTTTTTCCAACACAACACCTTTTAACTATGGCCATGCCAATGCCAATTTTGGAATGAAAATGTGTCTATTTCAATCTATAGGTTTCCATCTGCAGTATAAATAAGCGGTTGAAGATGATTATCCTTGAGTAAAGAAACAGATTCTCCTCTGCCTTGTGTTTGGTAAGCTAAAAATGTTTCAAGACACCTCCCAGAGCTGAAGGAAGAGTGTCGCCTGAGCACTCTTAGCATATGCTTGGGTGTGAAAGAAATGGGGATCTGTGTGGAAAACAAGGTCTGTTGTATTTATGCTTTGATGTAGGATTAAAAGAGGAGTGGTTCCTGGTAGGCACACATCCCTCATCAGGGAAGCTTGTCTAGTGCAGGTGTTTCGTGCTTTGAAACCCAGGCAAGGCAAGGGTTATTAACTCATGTGTTAGGAACTCATGCTAACTCACGGAGAGAAAGCATCCTCTTAGTATGTAGATGCCCCACAGAATATTTTGCTTTTTATCTCATGAACACATTACATGGATGGTTTGATGGTTCACATAGCTGTGGGATGGATGTGACCTTAATCTTTATTTTGAGAAAGGATGCCACTGACATAGTGTTTTAAATTTCTGAGCTGTCTGGTTAGCTTTAAGTCCACGCACAAATATGTGTGCGTGCGCGCGCGCGCGCGCGCGCGTGTGTGTGTGTGTGTGTGTGTATGTGTGTGTGTATGTGTACGTTGGTGGAGCAGTGGAGTGGTGGTCCATGAACTGAGTTTAAGAGTTTGGCAAGTAGCTTGGAGGGATTAAGTTACTTAGTCTCAGAGGGAAAAAAAAACCTGAAAGTACATAATTAGTCGTTTGTAGGTCCTCAGATATCTAAAAGGTCACAAATATGAGTGATAACAGTCCAAGCCTGTGACCTCTGGACACAGAAAGGGGCAGGTCCCAAAGCACCTCTCCTAGGAGTGGAGTAGCGTCACTTAGGACACACTATTTGGGGTTATTTTACTTTATATTTTGTTAACAGCTTCGATTTGACTATTTTAGTATGCCAGGGCCAAGGTAAAGGATAAGAGAGTGATACAGACAACAGAAGTTATTTTCTTACGATTCTAGAGGGTAAAAGCCCAAGCTAAGGTGTTGGTAGGTTGGTGTCCTCTTCGTGAAGGCTGCAGCCTCACTGTGAATGTGAAATTCGTTTGCATGTGCACACCTCTCAAGTTCTCTGTGTTCAACGTCCTCTCTTCTGAGGACACTGCCAGGTTGGCTTGGGTTTTGTTTTTAACTCACCTTTTCTCAGAGGTGTGTGAATGAGAGAGGGTCTCATCCCATAGCCGAGATGGTCTTGAGTTACCCCAAATCCTTGTGTGTTTTCTCACATGTAAGGAGGGTGTAGGTCACCAGGCCTGACTTTTGTGATCTTCTAAATTCATTACAGTTAGAGGCCTTATCTCCAAATACAAAAACATTCTGATATGCTGGTGTCAGAGCTTCTACATGGTAATTTGGAAGGACACCTTATTCATAATTAGATTTATTTATTTATTCATTCAATTTTCTATATACCAATCCCAGTTCCCCCTCCCTCTTCTCTTGCGCCCCCTCTTTCCCCTACTCCATCTGCTCCTTAGAGAGGGTAAGGCCTAAATGGAGCCACTTTTGAGAATAAGGGCAAAGTAGGTAATTGAATGAAATATCAGGTCAATGGGGGAATATATCAGACTGCCCCGGGGCAACCAAGTTTCCTGGAGCAGAGCCAGGAAACCTGAAGAAACAAGGATAATACCACTAAATTTAGTACTTGAGGTCTATGAAAAAGCAACTTCTCAGGTGGAAAGATCAAATGTTCAGTCAATAGTAATGGGGGGAAAATGTGTCAATTCCTTTGCTTCATTCCACGCCACCATTCAAAGCTGTCGTGTGCTATAAGCTAAGAATCACCATCGTTCATTTTTCCACTCAGGGATAAAACCTGGTGAGCGTGAAACATTAACACAAGGTCATAAGAATCAGTTACACAGAGGAGGGAAAGGGGAGGATGAGGTTCCCATGACAGACCATGCTAAATGCATCTGGGGTTCACGACAAGAAGCAATAGATGGATAACTGACAGGAATTCTCAAGGCCTTTAGAGTAGCCATGGCCTCAGGTTGGGATTTCCATGGAACACAAGGGTCTGGGCAGGGAACTGCCTGGAGTGGACAGGAGAGGAAGAGTGGTGTTAGGAAGCCAAGAGAGATGGAGTCAAAGGAAGAATGTTTGTAGTGACTTCAAGTTCCACTGAGCGTTTATGTAAATGAGAGTTTTAACTAAATGAAGACTCAGACTCATCTGCTGGATGTGGTGAGTAGCAAGGCAGAACTTATCACGGATTATACTACACACTTCCAGCCCTCTGAAGATTGGGTAGAAAGAAGAGCAGCAACGAGTAAATGATCAACCACAGTGCTCTGGGAGTCAGCCGAGCCTGGCACATCAGCCTTGTCCTTGCCCAAAGCTTACCCTGGCAGGTTGCTCTGCTCTAGGAGAGGGTGTGCTAGTTGAACAGACTGGGTTGAGCCAAGCCTGAATGAGTAGTCATGACTGAAACGATCCGGTGTTTCTTGCAGCTTTGGACCTTTAAGAACAGTACCAGGGAAGCATCGGTATAACATTAGAGATGAACGTTGACTTGACATGGGCCAGACAACTGCTTATCCGGGCCCTTGCCTCAAGTCTCTGACACCTGGGAGGAGCAGAGTGTAGAAAGTAGACCTTATTCTTGCTGATTCCAACCACAGGCAGCCTTACCTGCAACATGTTTAACGTAGCCTATAAAGGGCCATCATTCGTCAGCATGCTATAGAAACTCTCACTTCCAACTTCTCTTGAAAGGACCAAACGTTCTAAAATATTAAGCAGCAGAAAGTCATTCAATTTAGTTCAGTAATATATTGAGTGCCAGTGGTCTATAATCGCCTGGATGGTGTCATGAGAAATACAGAAAAGGGTATACTAGTCTCCTCCCTTCACAGGGTCTCAGTCAGCCTGCGGGAAGGACAACAGTCTCCCAACAGCAGAATGTGATCTGTGATTATCAAGTTTCAAAGCCTGAGGACAAGGGAGAAAGATTCTGTATCTGCTTCATGTGTATGTGAATGTTTGCTCTGTGTGTGCGTGCGTGCGTGCGTGCGTGTGTGTGTGTGTGTGTGAGTGTAGCTGAGTTATGAGAGTAAAGGGGAACAGAAAAGCTTCAATCAGCAAGGCACAAGAAAACTTCACTGAACATTTTGCTACTTCGTTTGTTTTGTTCTGTTTTGTTTTTGCTGCTGTTGGTTTGTCAAAATGATGAGAAAGTCTCGGGGCTCCCAGTTCAGACCAGCCTTCATTCCATGAACGGCAAGTGCTGTCCGCCATCTGTGAGCAAAGTCCTGTGCTATCCCAACACAGTTTAGTGGGCAGTCAGCCTGACCTGGAACAGGACAGTGACTGGGGACCACTGTTAGTTAACCAGGTGCATAGACTGAAGCTGGGTAAACCTCTAGAAGCTGTGACCTGGTATTGGTTTGTTGAGGATGACCACCTGGGTGTGAGTTAGCGTCGGCAGCAGAGATAAGGACTGGGACCCGGCGTAGATTCAGAGCAGGTAGAAGGAGTCTGAGAAGTTTAACTCTATTTCCATTCTCAGTGTCAGTTAAAGGAGCCGTGTAGAATGCTTGGGTGGTAGTGGAGAACCTGGGCCTGGGGTCCTGGGACCAGGAGGGAGGCTGGAGAGACATAGGCTTATACTGCAGAGCTAGGAACTTGCATCACTTGGAGAAAAACCTGATCTCACCAGAAAGGGGTTATTAGAAAGGTCTATTCCAAAGAGAAGTTAGGGATCCACAGAGATCTGACTTCTGTCTGGGGAAGACGTGGAGGACAGGAGGAGGGGTATTTCCCCTGGGGTTCATAAAAGGAAGTGCGAAGTGAGTCTGGATGGCGAGTGGACTGCGTTACGCACGGGGTAAGGGAAGCCATGCCGATCCGAGCCGACAAGGTGAGAAGACATCTTTCAGCACAGCCTCTCGCTGCTGTTTTGAGCGGTGCCAGGTCCCCAGGCGCAGTCACACTGTCCTGTCTCGCTGTGCAGAGGCTCATTGCACCCATTTCAGGATCAGCTTTGATTT